GAAGAAATAGCTATTACTATGATCAATGTCAAGATGTTAACTAATTGTCATCTTAGTAACACTCCCCAACTTTGATATAGAGATAGTATTTTGAAAGAAAGAATTAATATTCAAGGAAGAAGATTAAAGAAAATAACTCACAACTTACAAATTCATTAAGCTTCAAAGTAGCAAAACCAAGATGGAAGAGTTTAGCTCCTCATTTGGAGACTAAACATGATAAAAAATATAAAGAAAGAACTATTCTATACTGAGCTTAGATGTACAAAGGAATTGGATCTATTTTTGTGAAGGAAAGGAGGTGTATTTATAGGTTTTTGGGATGGGATTCGGGTACTCGATCGGGTATATACATGGTACCCGATCGAGTATGTGTGTAACACCCGATCCGAGGCATACTCGACCGGTTTCAGGCTATTTTCTAAGTGTATACCCGATCGAGTATATAAGAATACCCGGTCGAGTATGTTTAGAAAGTGGTATTCGGACTATACTCGACCGGTTTCAGGCTATTTTCTAAGTGTATACCCGATCGAGTATATATGAATACCCGGTCGAGTATGCTTAGAAAGTGGTATTCGGGCTATACTCGACCGATCTTCGTTTGCAATTTAAAGGCATACCCGATCGGGTATGTCGGTCTACCCGATCGGGTATAGACATAGAATCGTGGCCAAAATCTTCCCTGCATGTTCCTTTGTCTTCGGATCTGATCCGATTTGAAGTTCCAACCTAATACCCGATCGAGTATAGCTAATACTCGACCGAGTATAGACCAAAATTCAGGATCTTCTTTTGTCTTTGAACTTTTGCACCTTCTCTTCACTTTTTGGGTTCACCAACTGTACTTTGGGTGACCAAAACCTGCTTAAGCTCAGAATCTGTCTAATCTAACCTATTTACAAGAATTTAACAATCTAATCTATTACACCAAAAGTGTGTAATTTCCAAAGTAAAAGTTAAGCAAAACTAATTAAAAACATAAACATAGAAATGGAAATTACGAACGTATCACTCTCCTATCTCTGGTCCTGATTACTTTGCTAGATCATCACATCACAAGGATGGAAGATCCTTTCGCTTCTCTAGTTTCTATGCTTCCGAGTAGAAACCCTGAAGGATGGAAGATCTTTCGATTTGTTTGCTCGTTTGGTTATGTTGCTATGGGAGAACAAAAAGCAGAATTCTAGGGTTATGCGAGGGACTTAGATTGCAATTTCGAAATTTCTTTTATAGATACTGAGTTGGAATAAAGAGCCAATAAAATAAAGCCAACTGTGAAATGCACCGAAACAGGCTGCAAAGGGACTGCACCGTAAAACTTTCCAAGAGAATATTGCAAAATTTCAATGTTGTAACTTTTAAAGAACAAAGACAGTATTTTCTATCAAATCTCTATTTTTTAAAATTATGTTTTATACTCTACGGCCTAGTATTTAGTTTTGAATAGGGTCTTCAGTGTGCGGTAGTGGCCCTGTATGTACGCTGAGTTTCAAAATGATATTACTTCTACATTGTCTCATTTTACCGTTTTGGTCCGTCCTATTAAGATTGTCCTATACTAAATTTGGTAAAGTTTGTGTGACTCCAAATCATTCCTACTTTATTTTTACTTTATCAATTCAATATCAACTACATACAACACTTTTTATTAGTTTGTGTGTCACTCCCTCTTGTCCTATTGTTAGTGGGACGGAGGGAGTAAGTCACTTTTTATTTAGCTAAATTTGACTTTTCAAATCAAAGAAGTTAAACTTATACCAGTTATATATTTATATACAGTAATATTAGTAATATGAAAATGATCAAATTGTTCTTTATTAAAAAACTATCCTAAAAATATAACATTATTAAATTTCACATAAATATAGTAAAATCGGCATTTTAACATGTGCAAAAACAAATCACATATTTAATTAGAGAATATTACACAAAATAGAACTAAAAGAGTTTGAAAATTCCAAAAATAGGAATGTCATGTTTTTATTCTCAAAATAGGACTAATTACTGCCATGTTTTTGGAGTACCAGACTTCAAACATGGAAGTATTTTTTAAACATGTCAGTAATTAGTCTTATTTTGGAAATAAAAAATATGATAGTCCTATTTTGGAATTTTCAAATTGTTTTAGTCCTATTTCAGGAACTTTCCCATTTAATTAAGTCATTAAGATAAGACTAACCACACGTTCACACAGATAAGTCATCATGCCGGTAACGAGCCAACGACTTCGGTTTAGAAAATATCAGTGCCCATAATTTATGATGGTATTTGTACGGAGTACAACACTTTTTTCTCAATTAAAGATCAACAGACTTTTTTATGATGGTATTTGTACGGAGTACAACACTTTTTTCTCAATTAAAGATCAAAAGACTTCACTGAAAGTTCCTGTTGGATCGCCGGACTAGGGGTAGTCGGAATCCAAGTAAAACGAGAGAAAACTGATCGGAAAGTACAGGTAGATAATCCGGTAGAGTACGTAACAGTATGAGAGTTAAGAATATGATCTCTTTCCACAAGTTGTAAGGTGGTATTTATACTGAAATGGACAATACTTGGTGCCCAAGTAAAAAGATGTTGATCTCATAAAAAGGGGACACGTGTCCAATCTATTCTAACAAACAAACAGTCTAAGTCGATGAGGAGCAGCCACGTGTAAAGGTGATTGGAGAGATAGTATTGGACAGCTGGCTGATTAGAGTTATTTGTAACAAACTGCTACCAGAATACCCGTGTGGTTATGCGTGTGCAATCTGGAATGTTATCCATTACCGGGAGTGACATGGCAATGCCTCCCTGTGATGCTGGTCCTTGCGGATTTGTCTAAGTCCATAGTGCTTTAGTCAGACCTCGAGCTCACTGCCTGGTGTTGGAATTCGGAGACTCGGGCTCATTGTGATGGAATTCGCCTTCTGTCTTTGGTTCTGTCTTCGAGAGGGTTGACTGCCTGGTGTTGACATCGATTGACTCTGAGGTGATGTCTGAGGTCAGGCCTGGTGCCGAGCTCGGTGCATTCGAGGTCGGGCTCATAACTTGCCGAGTTTGGTCGATTCTTGAGCCTGGTATTTTCTCGACCTCAGGGGCCGAGGTCGGGGTCGGATGACTCCTCGGTCCTTGATTATTCTGCTGCCTGACGCTTGTTACTGACCTTGGTTGGTCGGGGTCGGTTCCTGTTGTGGACTTAGTCTTTATGTGCACTCCGGTGTGGATCCGTTATGCTTTATGCCGGCGATTATGATACCTCTGGGATATATGGGAATATACTCCATCATGAGTCCCCCACTCTCTGAAGCGAAAGTCACATTTAAGGTGAGAGAGAGTAGTAAGTCTTCAATTTCCTGGGCTTGCGCGCCCGACAGAGGTGATGCTCTCCATGGTCATAACAAAGGGGTACCTCATTAAAAACTTCGTTGAGGAAAAACCATGTGGGAAAAAATGCTAAGGGAGGAAAAAGAGTACACTCCGCTTTGCCATGAAGTCCGGAGAGGAAAGCGACACCCCGCTTCAGACAGGTCCGAGATTGAGTTCCGTGCCTTTCACGTTCCAAACCTGCTTCATGGGTTAGTTGCTACATCCACAGTCCTGACCATGGATTGATAAGATTTATTTGCAAAAAACTATCAAATAAGCTCTCGAACTTACATAAAAAGTGCAAAGAAGCTCTTTTATAGGATGCTCTGTCCGGCCATCACCATTTGGGGCGGTTCCTGGTGGAATATTTTGATGAATGTTTTTGAGCATATTATTCATTAAGTCTAGTTTACTCATACCAAATTTCAGCTAAATATTCAATAAGGAAGGCACTCAAATTAATTTTTGAAGATAACTGTGCAATTAAACAACGCAGTATATTTCAGAAAATCATTTGACTGTCTTCTCGGTTGAAGTTTTAGCTGAAATTTGGTATGGGTAAACTAGACTTAATGAAGGAGATGTTAAAAAAGTGTCATCAAAAAATTCTACCGGAAACCGCCCCAAATGGTGACGGTCGGACAGAGCGTCCTATTAAAGGGCTTATTTGCACTTTTTATGTAAGTTCGAGGACTTATTTGATAGTTCTCCCTACTTTTGAAATATGCATTGATATGACATTTTAAAAATGAGCATAACATCAGTATCAAATGAGCATACGTAACTTACAAAATGCACATTGCTATGAAAATCATAAGATTTGTTAGTTGAACACTTGAACATCATAACATTTTCATTGAACATCAAACATCCTCTATTGAGATGAAAATCATGGGTTCTGTAAAATAAGCATTAATGAACTTTTAATGAGCACCACACTTATTCTGTTAAGTATTAAGAGTTTAATGTTGAGTATCGTGATCTCTGCTTCATAACTTTTAATTCACTTTATTGTTGTTATATTTTCTTTTATAAAAAATTCTGAAATTATATCTATAATCAACTCTTATTAATTTCAATAAGTTTATCTAATTTAATATGATACTTTTGAAATATGCATTATGCACTGTATGATATTTTAAAACTGGCATAACGGTGAAATAAGTGAGAAATAAGAAAAGTAAAAATAGTATGATCGAAACTTGTACAAAGAAGAGGAAAATGAACAAAACCACAAATTAGTTGATTCAATGGGAAAGTAACAATGTTTTTGGAACAACAAAAAAGGAAAATTGACAAAGTCTAATAGGTCAGAGGGAATAGTACATTAACAATCTATGACTGTTTTAGGATATTTTTAATTGCACTGATTTCGACCCCAAATAAGATTAGGCATAGACCAAATCTAACCTAATCAAACTTGACCATACTCAAAATTAATCAATCTAAACCAAACCGAAATAATTCAGTCTGATTCTAAAAATCCTTGGTCCATGTAGATAATTTTCCCTCATTAAAAGACCACATCAATTAAGTAAACTTGAAACCAAGCAGGCAAACATCATTTGCACAGATCATCTTTTTTTCAACAATGGTGTCTAAAAAGAAAACCAGTAGATTGCAATTCAACTGGCATAATACATTACCCGAATAGTTGTGTACACTACAATCTGGCTTTCTCAAGGGTGTCTCCAGTTATGCTGCCATATTTGCAGCAACAAATATATCCACATTATCATTTACTAATGAAATCAATCATGTTGTAGGTTTTGAAGGTCTGCACAGATCTACTACAAGGTTATATGAACATGCAACACGCAACCACTGATCAAGAAAGAATTGAATTCTGGGAATTCTTTAAAAAAGAATGAAACGCTGTAATTTCTGTATACGAGTGTGTAACAGATGGTATATTGGTATGAATCACCAATCGCGGAACTCGAAGCTTCTAAGTTCTTGATATGTCAAACATTTCATGGCAATTGCATGAAAGTCAGAGTAAAGCTTCATGCCAAAGCAGATGAACATGGATGTCTTCCTGTTGGAGGGAGCTCTTGCACTTGGAGGTTAACACAAGAATAAGGAGATTAGGATAGCATTATATTTCATCCAATCAATTACTTTTTCTAGGCTTTCTCACATATACAACCAGGCAGAGGATTGGCATAGAAACTTTCTTCCAACTTTGGGAATTCGCCTGGTTCCCTCATACAAGGAGCCCCGGTCCGATTCTCATGAAGTTTCTTGACTTTGGCACTAAACTTTTCCCACGAGATCTTTCCTCCATCCAGTTCATCGACTAGCTTCACAAAATTCATCCTGCATTTGTTACATCACTAATTAACTTTTAAATGCAAGTTTATTAAACAGAAAATGATTGGTTTAAATAGGTTTATAGTCCCCGCAAACAGTGTCTTTTGTTTCAGGTATCTGCCAATTATCTTTTTGTTCTTCATCTATGTGATTTACGCTGTTTCCTTTTGGTCTCTCTTCGCATCTCTACCTCTGGACTATTAGGCTCTCTGTCTATCTTTTTCACATCTTTTCAACTTTATAAAACACTTGAATGTTTTATCTAGAGTCATTTGAACCTATAATAAAAACACATTCACTTGGTTATAAAAAGTTGAGGTGGAATTTCAGAGTGAAACTATGCAAGCGACATTAGTTTTCCTCAAAATAAAAATTGCCTTTGAATTAGAGAAAAACTAAAAAGAGCACAGCTTCTATTACTAGAATGAAAAGACAATTTACCGAGTTGAAAACAAAGTGTCATTAAGTGTCATATTTGGAGACATTAAGATTAAATTTAAAATCATGTTTAAGTCAAAATCATTCGACTTGATCATGATAACCATGAAGTGATTGGAAATTACCTGTCAGGATTGATAGTTTTCTTGAAATCCTCGAACCGCCTATGCCCCTGTACAGCCTTTGCCATGTTGCCATCATAAGTATAAAGAAAAACGTCACTCAGAAGTGCAACAACATAGTCCAGACCAGCCAACATGTTTTGGTGATTCCTGAAAGGACTTAATTCTTGGCCTGACGAAAGAGTCGAATGAGAGAAGATATTCGGGAAGTTATCCCAAAGATATTGCATGCTGCCCTTGCCATATGCTTCACCAGCCACCAAGTAAATAGTAGTGGTGGAAGGGAAGTCAAGACCCTTGAGCAAAAGGGCAGTCTCCCTAGGGGTCAAGGGACACCCGCCAAGCTGCCTTCTCTCTACCCCGTCAATCTCCTTTTCCTTCCAATGGCTGACTTCATACCTCATCGTACGAAGTTCGTCATCCTCTTCTGCTGTCAAATTATAACTGCATCCTGTAAAAGCAAGCATATCTTTCTCATACCTGCAAGAAGACAAGGTAATTAATTGGAGGTAATATTCCCAAAAGGAAGAGTTATGATCTTCTTTATTCTTTTTAAGGATAGGATGTGCCCTACTATTAGCACACATAAAAGATACTCCTATTTGTGCATATGACCTATGTTTCACTCCTATGTGTGCATACGACTCATATTTTACTCCTATTTGGGCATGTGACCCATGTTTCACTGCTATTTGTGCATATATCCCATGTTTTACTCCTATTTGGAGGAATTCTTTTATTAATTAGGACGGAGCCCTGAACAAAAATTACACATATATAAGCAAAAATGTTTATATGATAATTTAAAAGTACTACTAAAAATAGACCTTAAATGTAGAGCAAGATAAGGGTTTCCATTTTTCCTCAATCTTGATGCAAAAGCTTTCCCAAGTTCTTCAATGGCAGCAGAGTACTTTAATGCCTGGTAATTTACACGACATCTCAACTTCTGTATAGAATTTGGAATCCCATTGTTGGCAAGCCTGGAATCAGTGTGAGTGAAGTAGATCAATTTATTCTGCTTGAGCAGTGGAAGGACCTCTGATTTGTAATAACTAACCTGAGAAAAAACAAATAAAAAGAGTCAAGATGCCATGATTCACATTAAAATGTGCGAACAAGTAAGCAACTAGACACACACTAGACAGAAAGGTTAGCTCCTTTTACACACACAAATTTGTTTTACTATTGAAAGCACATTTTTTTTAATTTTGTAGGTAAACAATTCCTTGTAAAAGTAAGACTGTTTCATCATCTAATATACTTTACTCCTAAATATATGTCACCCTTTGGATAATTTTCCATTGTGAACTTGTGAAGTGAGCATGATATGGGACAGTCAAGATATTTCCTGAAGCATCCAAGTCAATATTCTTGTAAAAAGTTTTATGTTTAAAGGACTTGACCTTTGACCAAGATATTGGTGTTTTGTTGAAAGGTTCAACTCCTGAAAGTTCAGGCGGCAATTCCTCAACTATGTGAATATCGTCCTTCAAACTCTCAATGAAGTGTTGCCAGTCGAACAAATCCTTAAAGCCACTGCATACGAAGAAAGGATCAAAGAGATGGTCATAAGATAACTCTATAAGAAAAAATTACTTTCCGTAGTAGTAAAAAGAGCACTTGCAGCATAACTCTTCTTAAACAAATATTCAGCTAAATGCTTATTGCAGTAAGTATATATCATATGCTAATAGCGGCATTTGGCACATATTAGTTGCGTACATCTTAGTTTATACCAGTTAAATCTGTTTCTTGTTTTCGAGTTCTGATTTATGTATTGTTGCAACAATCTTATTATTAAACTAAAGCCCAACACCTCTCATCAGCCCAGTAGGAAGTGTGATCGAGAGATGGAAGTACAAATGTTGCCTTCATGATTTTAGCCACAGCAACCATATCACAGATCTGCATTCTAGACATATTTCTTTATCAGGTCAAAAAACTGCGAGTACAATATTAGTATTTAATAAAAATCATATACATGATACATTATTGTTAAAAAATAACAACCAGACCCCAAATCTCATCTGGTTTAATCCGCCATTGGCATTCATCAGAATATACCCATTTGTCTTTCCATCTAGCTCTGCAAAGAAATAAATAATAATAGTAATCATAATAACCATAAGAGTAAAAACAGTAACAAATGACATATGAACACAAAAGAATCCTTCTTCAGATCAAGACTAAATTAGTAAATTTGTAACAGTTTGGGAGCTTACTTCTGTGACTTTTTGGTCGATCAATGCATTTTGTGAAATTTACACTGTTAGGTTTGGACCATATCTCTGAGTACTGAAATGTTAAAAGAAAAACTTTGCTGAAACTAAATAAATGAATAAAATTTCCAGAAAGTAGGCTGTTTTACGTTATGTAGAAGCCAATGCATTTGAAAATTGATCTAGGACCTACAACTGCCCTGTTTTGACTACGCACCTCCCCTGAAGCTAGCATATTTAAGGGCTCTGTCACCTCACTCCCTCCATCTCTTTCACCATGATATCTCACTGCATATCCATTGTAATGTTCATGAGACCCTTGATGCCTCATAGTTTGGCGATTGACATGAGAGTCTGAAAAGTCCTACATAACCACATTCAACAATAAAACCAAACTAATTTAAACTTCGGATGCAAGAATGTTCACAAAATCTCATTCCTGGAAATATCAAATACTTCTACAATTTGTAGGCTACATGTTTCTGGTTTTCATGGCCCGCTATTAATAATTTAATACCACAGGTGTTCATGAACCATTAGTCCATATGTAAGTAATTATAGTTATATAGAAATTAGGTAACTTACTACCACCATAAGATTCTAATCATCCATTAAAAAAAATATCAGCTAACATTTATAAAATGGCATAAAACTCACATATAAGCTGCGTCTGTGAGAGCAAAAAGAAATTTTATACAAGAAGGGTGTTGTTACAAGTCATTTACAAATAGGAAAAAAAAACATCGGTGCCTTATTTGCCTGAAGTGGTATACTTTCATTTATGGGTAGAAAAAACCTAAAAGATTCATTGACTTACTTTGCAGTTACCAAATTTGGTAAGTTAGGGTCCTTAACTTTCTACTTACGTCATCAACATCCCTCAAGCATGGAAGGACTTTTCTTAACAACAGATCACAAATCCAACATGTATATAAACATCTGAATCTCCAAAAAAAAGATAGAATAACTGAACCAACCTGATTCAATCCAGTCTTTTCAATAGCGGATCCAAACCAGCCATAAGCACAGAACTTGAGAAGACCCAAGAACAAGCACAGGCTGCAGAAGAGCAAGAACATTAAGTGCCCTAATTTCTTCTTGCCCTTGAGCTCCAATCCACCCAAACCCAAATCCACACCCAAAGATCCAATCTTTCTTCTCAAATGAACTCTTTGGATCACACTACTCAAGTGGGTCTGAGCCTGTTTCTTCTCTACCACTGGTTCGGACCCGTCGCCCAAAAGCGGGATGGCATTTCCCTCAGATCTGGGCGAGTTCAGATTGAGATCAATCTCGTGGTGGGTGTTCAGCGAGGTAGAAGTGCCGCTACTGCTATGGGAGGTCTGATTAGCGCCGACATTATTAGGCCGCTTGAAGGAGTGGGCTCGGCGGGTCATGGAGCCCGAGAACCTTGGACTGTTGACCCGCGGCGAAACTCCATCCGTCGCCGTGGAGTGGTGGTGACTGTTAGGGTGGTGGCCCATAGTCGACTATGCACATAAGTAGTCTATATGTATTGATCAGCAGCGTGGTTTAAAATGATTGGCATTAACAGTGAGAATGGTGGCAGACTACCGGAACGAATGAGATACGCAGAGCTGGTTTGTGCCGGTCTGAAATTCAAGTTTATGAGAAGCGAGTGTAAATTGTCTTTTCCCCTTTCTTTTTCTTCAATAATGGAAGGAGGCCGCCATTTTCAACGACTTTTCAATATCTCATTTTTTAGGCACAGATACTCTAATTATTACTTGCTTTTTGTGTAGAGTAAAATCATGGAAAGTTCAAAGACTAAACAAATTTTGAAATTTTGAAATAGAACTTTTATGTTTTTCCATATAAAGTAACATAAGAGTATTTATTGTTATCATAAAATTATTACAGTAGTTATAGTATCACGTCTAACATGACAATATTTATTATTATTGATTATATTATTTCTCAATCGTGACAATAACGATTCATATTTCGAGAGAAAAATAGCATTCCTACTAATACAGAAATTCTTGGTTAGCATTTCTGTAATCATTCTACTTGATGGAATAGAATTGGATCCACTTGTGCTTGTTCTTGCCCTTAAAGTCACTTAAACATTTGCCTAAATACTCATTTATTTAGGACTTTCATACGAAGCTCAAAGGACCGTATTGGGCCTTTGGACAGTGAGGAACAAACCTCAACATTATCTATTTCCATCCATTAGTCTATCAATCATCCCAATTATAAATTGAAATCCATTTTATTTACTTACTTCGATGAAATTCATTCTATTATAGTTATCCATTGATAGTTTATTATAATCATCCATCCCTTAATTTTATTTATTTAATTAACCGGTCCAATACATCTTATTTGTCTTAATCAGCCAATTTCGTTAAATTGTCTTTTTATGATTTTAATCGAACGGTCAATCCATTTTTAGTTAATTTAATTCTTCTATAACAAATCTATTAAAAGCCTTTCAAAAAAGTCTATTAATAGTGGGCATAAGCAATTTTATTATCTCAATAATGGTTTCCATCTAATTACATATTTCGAAGCTAATTTCCAAAAATGTGACCATCTTTACAAAAGGACAAAAATATGACTAAGAAGGTCATATATTTCAAAAAACGTGATGTCACTGCCAGATTTATATATCACTGTTATATGTCACTACCACATTTTTATGTCACTTTTGAACGTCACGACCGTCATCGTCAGTGTCACTGACGCTACCTCGGTGTCACTACCGCCACCTTCCATGTACTCCTGTCATCGCCAATGTCACTGACACCACGTCATGCCACTGCCGCCAAACCGGTGTCACTGACACCATGAAACTTGTCACTATGATTGCATTTTTCCGGTAACTTGTTTCCAACAAAACGTAAATTTCAACCAAATCTGCATCGTTATCCCACCGCCACTACCGCATCCCCATACACTGCCTACTGCCCCCAGCCCGCCCCCATCCTCATCCCCATCTCACTGCCCCAGTCGCTTCTCCCTAGCTTCCCCGCCTCGTCTCCCTAACCCCAATCCTATCTCCCTAGCTTCGTAGCCAGCTCTAGCCCCTGCAACCCCAAACCGCCGCCCCACTTGTTGCCTTTGTCTTCAATTGCACCGCTGCGTAGCCCTAGCCCCATCCCAACCCCCATAACTCTAGCCCAATCTAACCCCTGTAACCCTAGCCCTATCCAAACCTGTAACACTAGCCCGGTCCCAACCCTAACCCGCAATCCCCACCGGCCACCGTAGATGCAAGTGAGCGAGCCGACTAGATTCATCCCCGTCATCGTCGAAATTAGGCAAGTGATGTACACGGTTTGTAGAAGACGAAGACGAGCGACAGAAATAATAATGTCGCAGAGATTATAGCAGGTGGAGGCGTCGCAAAAGATGTGGCGTCACACTAGGAGGAAAAGGCGGTCGAGATTTGGGAGTAGAGAGCGCAAGGCAAACGATTGGGATGCGGGAGAGGAAACAGTTGAGTTTTTTATTTTTAAGCTTAGTTTTTTGTTGGGAAAAATAATTAAAATACCCCAAACTATGCAGGGGCGTGAGACAAGAACCCCAAACTTGGAAATGTAATTTAAACAGCTCAAACATTATATAAAAGGTTATTTCAACATCATGGTCATGTATGATTTTTTTTAATGTAAAATTATGATGTTAATTGCATAATTTAAAATATCAAATTGAAAACTTTGCAATGGAAGTTATACTATTTTCAATAAAACTTTGCAGTTATATAGTGGGGGAGGGGGTAATACTATTTATTTTACAATGGAAGTTTAGAATATTGATTGTGTCTTCATGAATGCTAAAATATTTTAATTTTCAAATTAGCACAAAAAATTGACATTTTTGAAAAAAATAATACATGACTAGGGTGCTAAAATAACTATTTATACAAAGTTTGGGATATTTAAATTACATATGCAAGTTTGGGGTGCTTACCTCATGCATCTTCAAGTTTGATGTATTTTAATTATTTTTCCCTTTTTTGTTCAATTGAAATGTAGTCATATGTTTGTTCATCTATAGTCAATGAGTAATATTTGTGTCATTATTTCTTTTCTTATCATCCTTATTAGGGCTGGGTAAAGTGGTTTGGTTTGACCAAACCGAATCGAACCAAACCGAAAATTGGTAGTTTGGTTTGGTTTAAAATCGAAAAACCGTAAACCGAATCGTACACAGAACAACTTGTAATATATATAGGGGGAAGATCCCATGCAAACCATGCTTCCGGTGCAAACTACAAACCAACTACATCCGTTGGATTGATCAATATGGATGATCATGCGTATGACATCCATGGTAGTAGTTATGGGTTGAGATGTAGCCAATCAAAATCGTAAGACCCACTTCCGTATAATAATTAGTTGCAAGGCTATTAAGGTCATCTTAAAACATATTTCCCTGGAATTGCCGTTTTCTACTTTCCATTAATCAAATAATCATCTAAATATAAGCAATCCATAGAAGGTAAGTGGCTGACAAGATAAATCCCTGAATTGATCCTAGCCATAAATTACAAAATAACTTACATTTTGCAATTAATAATTAAAGGTAGCAATTACAAAATTTATCTCTTGATTCATAGAATCGATCAATCGCTCCTTAATAAACTTCAATATTTGAAACCCAGCTCCTTACAAAATGAGAACTGCATTTTAAGATTATGAGATGTGCATCGTATAATTATAATGTTGCATATGATAATATTTGTGAAATAAATTCCTTTATTTACGAAATTAATCACTTCATAATTATAAAGTATGCATATTAGTTGTGCATATGCTGCACTTTAAGTCACATGATGTGATCATTATCTATATAATGGTTGTCATATTGAGCCCATTAATTTATTACGTTGCACTTTGGAAGTCCACGTGCTGCATTTTATCACTATGACAAGTGCATTCATTTTACCGTCATTAACAAAGTTCATATGTTGGATTGATCATCATCACATGTTCACTTTTAGAAGTTCATACGAAGTATACAATATTTCAGTAAGATGGCATGTGCATCTTAGCACACCATATGATGCATCTTACCGCTTTAGCATTTGCATCTTAGTAGTTCATATGTTGCATTTTATCATTGTGACATGTGCATTCATTTTACGGTGATTCTCACAGTTCAAATGTTGCATTATATCATCACCACATGTTCATTTTCAGAAGTTCATACAGAGTATATTGTACTACCTCTATCCCGAAATAAGCGTCCTGGTTTGACTTTCACATAGATTTAGAAAGTGAAGTTGACTTCACACTGTAACGACACTGTTTGGCACCGTAGCGACACTGTTTGGCACTGTAGCGACACTGTTTGGCACTGTTTTGCACTTTTGGCACTGTTTTGTATAGATTTGTTTACCAAATAAGGAAAGGAGACAATTATTTCAGGACGGATCGAAAAGGAAAGCAGGACAATTATTTCGGGACGGAGGGAGTATTTCGGTAAGATGACCTGTGCATCTTAGGAGATCATAAGCTGCATCTTATCGATACGACATCTTAGAAGTCCATATTGCATCTTACTGCTTTGGCGTCTGCACCTTAGTAGAGTATGTGTTGCATTTTATCATTGTGACTTGTGCATTTATTAGCTCATATATTGCATTTTAGTGAGATTATATGTGCACTTTAGAAGTTCATACTGCATCTTATCTCTATGGCACTTGCATTATATACTAACAGACATGCATACTAAACTCATGAGGTCACAAAATACATAATATTTCTGGCACATTAATGTATAAATATTTAAACATTTTTCTGCATAAATACGAAATTGATGAACTTCATGAAGTCAAAAATCAAAAGGTTAATGATGGATCGTCGGACCAGGGGTGGCCGGAATCCACCTAGAATAAGAGAAGAAAGGGAGAGAGTGAACTGGTTTGCAAGTCTTATAGTATAGAATTCAAAGTGCGATCAATCAAGCATCCCTTTCCACAAGTTGGAAGGTGATATTTATACTAAGAGGTAAAAGGCAATACTTGGTGCCCAAGTAAAAAGATGCTAGTCTAATAGGAGAGGGGCACGTGTAAAGCTACTCTAACAAACTAACAGCCTAATTCGATGGGGAGCAGCCACGTTTAAAGCTGATTGGAGAGAGAGTCTTCAATAGCTGGCTGATTGGAGTTGGCTTCTAACAGAATTGCTGCCATGATACCCGTGTGGTCAAGCGTGGGTAATTGAGAATATTCCCTGGTGACGTGGCGGTCTCTCCTTGAGGGGTAGATCCTTGCGGATTTTGTCTAAGTCCATGATGCTTTATTCAGACCTTGGGGTATTATTGAGGTCGATGTCTGGGAGCTCGGGCCCGTGATGAGAGGACTCGCCCCTCTGTCTCATGTTTTCGCCTTTTGAGGTAGTTGACTGCCTGGTGCTCGATCACTGTTGACCGAGTGTTTGACTTCCGGGGTGAGACCCGGTACCGACCTCGTGTGCATCGAGGCCGGGCTCTTAACTTGCCGAGTTCGGTTGATTCTCGAGCCTGTTGTTTTCCCGACCTCAGGGTCGGGGTCGGGCTCTGCTAGCCGTGTCATTCGTTGAGTTTGATTGATTTCTGAGCTTGGTGTTTTCCCGACCTCGGCGGTCGGGGTCAGTCTTGGAGTGCGGGCTTA